AATAAAAATCAAGAATAACAATTATAATAACAATTATTCAATAAAAATCAAGAATAACAGTTCTAATAACAATTATTATAACAATTATTCAATAAAAATCAAGAATAACAATTATAATAACAATTATTCATAAAAATCAAGAATAACAATTATAATAATAATTATTCAATAAAAATCAAGAATAACAGTTATAATAACAATTATTCAATAAAAATCAAGAATAACAATTATAATAACAGTTATTCAATAAAAATCAAGAATAACAATTATAATAACAATTATTCAATAAAAATCAAGAATAACAGTTATAATAACAATTATTATAACAATTATTCAATAAAAATCAAGAATAACAATTATTATAACAATTATTCAATAAAAATCAAGAATAACAATTATAATAACAATTATTCAATAAAAATCAAGAATAACAGTTATAATAACAATTATTATAACAATTATTCAATAAAAATCAAGAATAACAATTATTATAACAATTATTCAATAAAAATCAAGAATAACAATTATAATAACAATTATTCAATAAAAATCTAGAATAACAATTATAATAACAATTATCCAATAAAAATCAAGAATAACAATTATTATAACAATTATTCCAAAAAAATCAAGAATAACAATTATAATAACAATTATTCAATAAAAATCAAGAATAACAATTATAATAACAATTATCCAATAAAAATCAAGAATAACAATTATTATAACAATTATTCAAAAAAATCAAGAATAACAATTATAATAACAATTATTATAACAATTATTCAATAAAAATCAAGAATAACAATTATAATAACAATTATCCAATAAAAATCAAGAATAACAATTATTATAACAATTATTCAATAAAAATCAAGAATAACAATTATAATAACAGTTATTCAATAAAAATCAAGAATAACAATTATTATAACAATTATTCCAAAAAAATCAAGAATAACAATTATTATAACAATTATTCCAAAAAAATCAAGAATAACAATTATAATAACAATTATTCAATAAAAATCAAGAATAACAATTATAATAACAATTATCCAATAAAAATCAAGAATAACAATTATTATAACAATTATTCAAAAAAATCAAGAATAACAATTATAATAACAATTATTATAACAATTATTCAATAAAAATCAAGAATAACAATTATAATAACAATTATCCAATAAAAATCAAGAATAACAATTATTATAACAATTATTCAATAAAAATCAAGAATAACAATTATAATAACAGTTATTCAATAAAAATCTAGAATAACAATTATAATAACAATTATCCAATAAAAATCAAGAATAACAATTATTATAACAATTATTCCAAAAAAATCAAGAATAACAATTATAATAACAATTATTCAATAAAAATCAAGAATAACAATTATAATAACAATTATCCAATAAAAATCAAGAATAACAATTATTATAACAATTATTCAAAAAAATCAAGAATAACAATTATAATATCAATTATAACAATTATTCAATAAAAATCAAGAATAACAATTATAATAACAATTATTCAATAAAAATCAAGAATAACAATTATAATAACAATTATCCAATAAAAATCAAGAATAACAATTATTATAACAATTATTCAATAAAAATCAAGAATAACAATTATAATAACAATTATTATAACAATTATTCAATAAAAATCAAGAATAACAGTTATAATAACAATTATTCAAAAAAATCAAGAATAACAATTATAATAACAATTATTATAACAATTATTCAATAAAAATCAAGAATAACAATTATTATAACAATTATTCAATAAAAATCAAGAATAACAATTATAATAACAATTATTCAATAAAAATCAAGAATAACAGTTATAATAACAATTATTATAACAATTATTCAATAAAAATCAAGAATAACAATTATTATAACAATTATTCAATAAAAATCAAGAATAACAATTATAATAACAATTATTCAATAAAAATCTAGAATAACAATTATAATAACAATTATCCAATAAAAATCAAGAATAACAATTATTATAACAATTATTCCAAAAAAATCAAGAATAACAATTATAATAACAATTATTCAATAAAAATCAAGAATAACAATTATAATAACAATTATCCAATAAAAATCAAGAATAACAATTATTATAACAATTATTCAAAAAAATCAAGAATAACAATTATAATAACAATTATTATAACAATTATTCAATAAAAATCAAGAATAACAATTATAATAACAATTATCCAATAAAAATCAAGAATAACAATTATTATAACAATTATTCAATAAAAATCAAGAATAACAATTATAATAACAGTTATTCAATAAAAATCAAGAATAACAATTATTATAACAATTATTCAATAAAAATCAAGAATAACAATTATAATAACAATTATTATAACAATTATTCAATAAAAATCAAGAATAACAATTATAATAACAATTATCCAATAAAAATCAAGAATAACAGTTATAATAACAATTATTCAATAAAAAATCAAGAATAACAATTATAATAACAATTATTATAACAATTATTCAATAAAAATCAAGAATAACAATTATAATAACAATTATTCAATAAAAATCAAGAATAACAATTATAATAACAATTATTATAACAATTATTCAATAAAAATCAAGAATAACAGTTATAATAACAATTATTCAATAAAAATCAAGAATAACAATTATAATAAAAATTATTATAACAATTATTCAATAAAAATCAAGAATAACAATTATAATAACAATTATTCAATAAAAATCAAGAATAACAATTATAATAACAATTATCCAATAAAAATCAAGAATAACAATTATTATAACAATTATTCAATAAAAATCAAGAATAACAATTATAATAACAATTATTATAACAATTATTCAATAAAAATCAAGAATAACAATTATAATAACAATTATCCAATAAAAATCAAGAATAACAATTATAATAACAATTATTCAATAAAAATCAAGAATAACAATTATAATAACAATTATCCAATAAAAATCAAGAATAACAATTATTATAACAATTATTCAATAAAAATCAAGAATAACAATTATAATAACAATTATTATAACAATTATTCAATAAAAATCAAGAATAACAATTATAATAACAATTATTCAATAAAAATCAAGAATAACAATTATAATAACAATTATCCAATAAAAATCAAGAATAACAATTATTATAACAATTATTCAATAAAAATCAAGAATAACAATTATAATAACAATTATTATAACAATTATTCAATAAAAATCAAGAATAACAATTATAATAACAATTATAATAACAATTATAATAACAATTATTCAATAAAAATCAAGAATAACAGTTATAATAACAAATATTCAATAAAAATCAAGAATAACAATTATAATAACAATTATTCAATAAAAATCAAGAATAACAATTATAATAACAATTATTCAATAAAAATCAAGAATAACAATAATAATACAAATTATTCAATAAAAATCAAGAATAATAATTATCCAATAAAAATCAAGAATAATAATTATCCAATAAAAATCAAAAATAATAATACTCAAAATGAGTATAGGGGTGTATTAGATTTGTGGTGAAAATGGATCTGTGTAACGTCCAGAAGGAAGCGTTTCCGACCCCATTAAGGATCTATATTCTTGATCAGCATCAATAGCCGAGTCAATTGAGCCATGTCTGTCTGTTTCAGATCATTTTCGCGTGTCTTATAAATTCCGGGGATAATGTTCTGCAATGCATTATTTTCTTAAATAAGTAATTTTAATTGTTAATAATCAAGAAACAGTAGAATTGAATGTTTAATAAGTTTAATTTTATTACATATATGTATATTAAAAACCCTTGAACTTTGTATTCAAATAACCGTTTAATCTCCAAAAACCCGAGCTGTAATAAAAATCCAACACACAATGCCCTAACGCCTATTACTCCTTGTCACTCATTCACTTTCAAACACTTCCTATTTGGCGCGCATCTTTGCTCCCATCTTCGTGGTGGGATTTTACAGCGCAGCAATGTCCTTTTATCCCTACATACGTTGCATTCCATACCACTTACGTTTTCTTACGTTTTATACCGTTGGAAACATTTTGTTGCCAGCAACTTTTATCGAAAAATGAGCGACATTGTCCGGCAACAACGGAATGAGCAACATTCCGCTTACCCTAAGGAAAAGGATATACAAAATTGAGTAACTGTTTGTCATCGCTCAGAACATTTTTTTAAGAGAAATATTGCATTTAATGGCTTTCTCGCAGAGGTAACCATAAACGTACTGTATCGAGATCGGGATCACGATATATATGTACATACATATATGCAGAATATGCAAAAACTTGTCAATCTGTGAACAAATATTATTTACTACGTTTAAAAGCAGCTTGAAAACAGTATTTTTATATTGACTAACCGTAATAGAGTATAAAAATGTCCATACATCGGTTGACATGCAACAAGTCCTCATATACCAGCAACATGTACTCTTATCTTGTTTTCTTAAACCCGATTTTAGACACAATCAAATTAAAGAAAGCATTTAAAATCAAACAATCTTGTAGAAAATGCATCCATCAATCAAAAAATGTTACGTTTTAACAGCTCAGGGTCTTAGCTAGCTAGTCATATTAAACAGAATATCAAAAACAAAGAAATGTGATTTCGGATTGTGGACAGAGAACGATTAACCCGTTGTCGACCCATTGTATTAAAATACTTTCCACGCAAATGATAAATCTTGCAAAAATGTAGCGCAGTTTAGGTGAAAGATATCGTGGTTTTTTATTAAACGAAGATAGAGTGGACCTGCAAGAGTAATTATTATTATTATTATTTTCCGCCATAAACTCAAGTCATTATCCTGTTGAAATAAAGGGGGTTTAAGTTGGCTAAGTTCGACTTTTCATCGGTAAATTTCGGTATATTTCTGAGTGTCAGTCACACTGCTGTGAATCTTTTGCTGGTAAACAAAAAGTCGGTCTACGGAAAATTTCTGTGAAAAGTGCGGAAAAGCAACACGAACGCATTTGGCCCGATTGTTGCTATTAGCGGCACGAAAACAATTTGCATTGTAGCCAGGAGCAACAACAAAGGACACCTGCAGCCGGAAACAACAACAATAGAAGATAGATAGCGATTGCAGCTGCTGTGGAGGTTATTTATAGCAACCAAACAGCCTGCTGCCACCACCCACACGTTAAGAGGGAGTGAGAAGTGGGTGTAGGCGCCTCTGCCTCCTGTAACTGGCCGCGCGCAAGCAGCCGCAAAGTCCAAGGATACGTGTGATATTATATCCAGCTCCCAGTCAAAGTCAAGGTAAGTGTAAGGGTGACGTGACGCGGTCGGTCGCCTGCTTTTAGGCCTCCTTTTCGCTTGCGTGAGTTGTGAAATTACCGCAAAACGAGTGCTGCCTGCCGTACATTAAAAACTTGTATGAAAACTTTGGTTTCTTTAGTTATTCGAGAATCACTTGCGGAAATGGAGTCGACGGCAGCTGTGGCAAATATCGTGAGTCCCCCCACGGCAGTGGGCACCGCTGCAACGACGACGGCGGCCGCCACCAAGCGGAGCAATCAGCAAGGACGCAAGAAATCTGGCCCCAAATTCGAGCTATCCGATGCCCAAAAGTCGGACATTAAGGAGGCCTTCGATCTGTTCGACAACGAATGCACTGGCTACATCGAAGTCAAAGAACTGAAGGTGGCCATCAGGGCCCTGGGCTTTGAGCCGAAAAAAGAGGAAATCAAGCGAATGATTGCGGAAATCGATAAGGATGGGAGTGGCAGGATTGCTTTCAATGATTTCTTGCATCTAATGACCATGAAAATGGCCGAAAAGGATACAAAAGAGGAAATACTGAAGGCCTTTCGCCTGTTCGATGACGATGAAACAGGAAAAATATCGTTCAAGAACCTGAAACGTGTGGCCCGCGAGCTGGGGGAGACCCTCACCGACGAGGAACTGCGCGAGATGATTGATGAGGCGGATCTGGACAACGATGGGGAGGTCAATCAGGAGGAGTTTCTACGGATTATGAAAAAGACCAGTCTGTATTAGAGAGAGAGGGATCCATCGTTTAATTTAAGATTACTTTTCGTTTAGTAAATGTTAAGTTTCTGTGGCTAAGCTTTTGATGTATCAATCCATTCATTGCCTCTTGTCTGTCTCTGTCTCTGTCTATGTCTCTCTCTTTGTCGCTCTCCCCTGGAGGTTGCTTTAAATGTAAGTTCAAGCTCTGTTCCTTTTTAGTGTCCTACTGACACACGCCTGTACGTTTATGAATGTAATGACAATGTACAACCCCACACATTCAATTAGCAGCTAAGAATAAAATTATGAAAAACCTCCGCGCACTGGCTGTATTTTCGCACGAAAACAAACACAGAATAATCTCAAGAACGTTAGAATAAAACCAAAACCACCAAAAACAATAGTTAATTGTTATTTAAAGATGAATTAACAATGTGAAATGCAATAAATGTTGTTGAATTACATGTTACATCGAAATGCTGTAGCCTTTTGGGGCTTCAATTGCGGGAAATCGAACAGTTAAAGGGGTTTAAAGAGTGTTTCGAGACTTCTAAATCAATGTTCCATTCAAATATATATGGAAAATAGGATTTAACTGCTGTTAATTGCAGTGACGTTGGAATTCCATTTAGAATTAGATTTCGAAAGCTGTCTTCAAATTGATCATAAATATATTTACAATTCAAATATTAGAATTCCCTTTGGAAAGCAAAATCATCTAGCAGCGCCGCCTCATCCTCGATTGATTCTTCGACAGAGTTGGAGACTTCTGAATCATTTCTTCATTCCAATTCTATAGATTTCAAGCAGAATTAACAAGTCAGATTTATCCAAAGGATCCATCTAGCACTCAATTCACATTCAATTTGCGTTGGGATTCCATTTAAATTTAGATTTGAAAGCGATTCAAAACCAAAACTGTCTTTAGATTGATTTGACAACTATTTACCATTAAACTACGAGGAATATCTTTTATAAATCCAAGGAACAAAAGAGTTTTTAATAGTATAGACTCTTTTTCTGTTAAATGGAAGCGTTGCTCCGAGCTTTAGTCTCCACAATACTCCACAAAATAATGCCTCACGATACAGACACAAAATACTCCTATTCCTAAACAACTCAATTACATTGTAGGGCATCACAGGGCATATTAGTGCTCGACGCTCCCCCAGGCTCGTTCCCCAGAAACCAAAAACAACAATAAACAATAAACATGTCGTGTCTCTGCTCAACTCGACTCTAAGGATAGTTCTTTGGTGTTGTTGAAGTACAAAAAAAATATAAGTCCTTGTTAAATTTTCTTTGTTTTAATATTTCGTTGCCATTTTTTTATTGGGGGGGAAAACATTTAATACTTTTTGCCAAACTTAAGAACTAAACAAAACTCTCTCTCTCTTTCTGTGTTGCATCAAAAATAAACTTAAATTCGTTTCCATTTCTTTATTTTTTCGTCTAGACAAAGGGCGCATTGAAGTAGATTTTACGTTTGCTGGGCAATGGCTTCGTACTGAGTCCTGAGCCCTCGATGAACTTTTCAAAACTGGCCAGATTCTTCTTCATTTGCGTGGCCTTGGCGGGCGAGAGATGGGGCTGTGGCTCCTCCTCCATTTCCGGCTGCATTAGGAGGTCCTCTTCTTGATGGTGGAACTCTTGGTCCTCCTCCTGCTGATACTCCTCATCCAGATTGTACTCATCCGCATCGGCATTGATCAGGCATTCATTGTCCTCGCTAATCTCCTCCAGCATGCCCTCTGTCTGGGGGCTCTTTGAAGTCGAAGTCACCTCCTGACTCCGATCGTACTCGGCATCGAGGTTATACCAATCGAATTCCGCCTGCAGAGGCAGATCGCTGGGGGCATCTGCCAACTGGAGAAGGGACTTGGACACGGGCGTGCTGTTGTGGAGGCTCTTGGGGGTCGTCGGAGTCGTCGGAGAGCTCGGGAGACTCATGCGTTTGTTGATCTCCGCCAGAATGTTGGGCACATGCTTCCGTTTATATTGCGATTGCAGGGGAGAGGGCTGCGGCAGCGGCAGCTGCAGCTGTAGCTCCTGCCTCTTCGGGGTCATCATCAGATACTCTGAGGCGGATTGCTTGGGCGCTATAATGGCCGCCACGTTGGGTAGCTTTGGTATATCGGCGAAAATCTCTTCGATTTCCTCAGTCTTGTGCGATTGATTGTCATCGGAATCCACCTCGGGCTCCATCGCTGGCGGCTCCACCGCTGGAGGGGTTGTGGAGCATTCCGGGGCCTTGTGTATGTCTGCCACAATCTGCACGCGCACACTGGCACTCATGCCCACCTCCGAAATGGAGCAGTAGTCCGGTTCCGAGACCGTGGCACAATCATCTTCGATGAGGGCCGCCTCATCTTCGAGGGTTTCTTCGAGTTGATGCAGGGATTTCTTGAATTTCAATAGATTGGCAGGCTTGGGCGGCAGGGCGGGTGGCAGTTTCTGCTGTGGCTGCTTCGAGGAGTTGCTGGAGCCCGCAGACTCTCCTGCTCCTGTGGCAGCTGCTGCCGCCATATCCACATACAGATTGGAGGCACGCTCTGAGCCAATCGGCTCGTACTCATTGCTGTAGATGCTCTCGTAGGCAGAGGTCATGGGATGATAGTGTGAGATCATTGGGGCAGCCATCGGGTGATCCTGCTCCTCCTGCTCTGGCTCCTCCTCGTGGTCGTCGTGGCGTGGCACATGCACCATGCTGTTCTTGGTGGAAAAGTGCACCCGTTTGCGGCCGTTGGAGACACTCCTGCCGCTGAGCGAACTCCTGCGCGGGAGATTCGAGGCAGCTCCAGCCATCGCGGACTTGGGGGTGGGCTCTCGTAGCGTCTCCTCCATGGACTGTTGCAGAAGGATCTGGTTGACGCACTCCAGCACGGGATTCACGGCTCCTTGGCCGTAGGGCTGCTTCACGGTCGACACTCTGGCTGTGGACGCTGTCTCCTCCTGGTCCGAGGCACTGGCATACCAATCATCGGTGGTCGTTTCATAGATCTGCTTCGGCGAGGCCTCAGAGAAGTCTGCACACCGTCGCTGTACGATTTTCAGGGCCCCGCGGGACATCATTTGCTGCTCCTGCTCGGGATCCAGTTCGTCAAAGTCCTCGTCGTCCTGGGTGGGCGAGAAGATGCCATCATCCTCCTCCATTAATTGTGGAGTCGTTGTCTTGCTGCTGCGACTGTTGCTGCTGCGACTCGAAGAGCTGTTCCGCCTCCTTTGCTGCTGCTGCTGCTGCTCCAGCTCCAGGCTGCTCTGCTCGGAGTATTCCCCGTCTTCCATCGAGGGGACTTTCACCCCGTGCATGCGCTCCATGGCCCGCGAATAGTTGTGCAGCTGTTCGTAGCTCGTCTGGGAGTCCTCGCGCGAGATGCTGCTGGTATTCTCCTCCGATTGCTGCTCCAAAGCGGCATCATCGATGTGCATGGCCCGCGAGCGCATATAGTCCCGGAAAGTGCCCGCCGTGCGCTTGCTGGTGTACCGGACGCTGCGTCTGGCGCCGTAGAACGACGATGAGACGGTGTCATCGCTGGAAGAGCCGGGCTCTGCTGTGGAGAATGGAAATTCGAGTCTAAGAGGGGGGTTTCCAGAAGGAATTGCTGACTGGGACTCACCCTTTCCGCCTACGCCTTGCAACTCTTTGCCGCACGTCTGTGTGCCGCTTGCTGTCGTTTCAATGTCATAGAATTGCTTGCGGCAATTCTGGCATTGCAAAGCCTCCAGCACCAGACACTCGTCCGAGTCCTGATCTGCTATGCCTTCATCCGGCTGCTGATCCTCCAGACGCTTCCTCAAGGCCCGATTCTGTCGCATCAGACGACAGATCTCTGAATCCCTATCCACCAGCCGTTGGTTCACGGCCTTCATGTCGTTCTTCAGCTTCGATTCGAAACAAATCAAGGACTTAACAACGCAGGCTAGCTCCTCCGTGCGACGCCGCTTCTCCTTGGCCAGCTCCCGATGCAGTTGCTTGTTCTGCTGATCGTAGTTGGAGATCATCTGCAGCAGACGTCTCCGCTGGAGTCTTTCGGGAGAGGACACCACGGCTGTGGCTGGAGGAACGGCACCCGAGGAACTGGAACCCGAAGAGGAGCGTTGCACTTCGCTCCCGCTGCCACTGCTGCGTGCATTCCGGGAGGATGTCTGCGAGTTGTCCGAGTTCTGAGGATGCAAAAAGAGATTTTAGTTGCGGAATGGATTGGGGGTTCCTCCTTTGGCTACCTTGAAGTGTCCTAACATATGAAAATGTGCCCATTTTCCCACCATTTTCCAGCAATGAACTTTGCCTGGAGCCCTCCCAATGACAAGTGTCGTGCGGGTCTAACTCTGATTGATAGCCAGAGAGCCCCCTGGCTACATTTATTTTATCTCTGGACGCTACTCGTAATGCAAATGACGCACAGGTTGTGGGCTTTGGAAATGGGATTACCTTGATTACCCATCAGGGAGCCCATCAGCTGCAGTGGGCATGTCATTTACGGGTGGAGTGAGACTTGAGAATACTCTACTCTGGAGAGAGGTGATATCGTTGATGAACGTTCCTACAGGGCACAAAAGGTGCCCTTTCACTTATGGGAACCTTGCACAGTCTCCTGTAGAAGAGATGTGGAATAGTCTCCTAATGGAACAGGGGCTTAAGAGGTAGCTAACGATGGTAGAAGGAACAAAACTGGGATATTAGGAGAACTTTCATTTAAAATTTCCTTATGAAACATTTGTACAGCGAATCAATGCCATTTCCATCATTCCGTTTTAGAAAACAATGCAATAATGATAGATGTACTCTATATAAACTATATTTCAGACATTCCAAACGCCCCTAAGGTTACAGACCACTTATAATCCTTTCTTAAAAGAGTAATTTCTGTTCGTTTGGAGCCCATAAACTTTCACTACCTTTCACCTGCTATCTTATCACCTGCTTGGGGGATGATTTTCCCCAACATGGCGCTATATATTTTTAGATCTACATATATCTCATATATTATTCCAACGCCTTTTAGTTGGGGTTGGGGACTATTTATGGTGTTGTTTTTTTGTATTTTTTTGGGGCTCTTTGTTGTACTCCACTGACCCCCCGAAGCAATGTCCGATGAAGGTCTTTATCTGCATGATATTTCAGCCGCAAACAAATACAAGTATCACACGTCTGTACGTGCAGATGCAGATGCAGATGGGCAGATACGTGTCCGGGCTATGCGAACATGCAGCAGACAGACAGAACCAAGGGTTAAAAGGTGATGCAATATCTTTTGGATGTCGGTCAAGTAATTACGGCCAAGGCGATCACTCAAAGTGGGCCACTTTCCCGCTCATTAGAAAGCAATGAAGGGCAAAAAGTGTCTGTGGTGGCGGTGACACATTTCTATGGGTATTTGTTTAGAGATTCACTTTATCAGGCTGAAACAAGTTTAAAATGTGTCTCTGGGTTATGGGAAAGTGTCGTAATGTTTGATGTCTCTGTTGACTTGAAATCTCTGGGGAGATAGGAAGCTAGATCGTTGGTAATTTTGAGATTTGTGTAAGATTAACAGAGATAGAGATACTCGTATGCATAAGAAGTATCTAGGCATCCCCTAGAACTAAATCCCTGTACCATTAAAAAGCCTTCGGGCATATTCGTAGAATGATACGAAATGCACGTTAATTTTTTGCAAAAAGTTCCCATAAGTGAAAGGACTCGTTCATTTTGAATGACATGAATAGGGGACCATAAGATACGATTGCTTCTGGATGGGTTGCGATGAAATACAGACCATTTTCTACTGGTTCTGGTCTCTGACAAGCAGATTTTGATCTTAAGATCATCTTCTTGATTTATTTCCCTATTTCAATAAAGCACATTCATTGATTCGGTGTAGAAATTAGCCATAAGCGAAAGGACACACATTTCACGAGTAACTCTAGATGGTTTTCGATGAAAACTTTCCGCTGTACAAATTTCCCCTAAGTGAAAGGATACATTTTCCATCTATCTATCGATACTTTTAATTCAAATACAAAATCAATCCCTAAAAACGAGATTTAATGCACTTGTGGCTTGCAAAAAGTATCCTACTAGTCTTACTTCTCTTATACCTAAAATAAACCCATCCAAATAGAGTTCTACTCTCTAAGAAACCCCTGTATCAAACTGCCATCAATATCTTACACACCTTAAGCTCTTCTTTGAGCTATGAGTTCTCCCTTCACTCACCTGTTCGACATTTTGCTTCTGCAAACGTGAACCAAAACCCAATTTCTTGTACGCTGGAGTATGGCCAGCTGCTTGGGTGTTGAATGTTGGCTCCAAAGTGGCTTCCGGCAGCTTCTGGTAGTGCTGCAGTAGGATGGATGGGGACGCACCCTTGGAACGCATATTCAGTTCGTTGCTGCCACACGACTGTGGCTGCGGCTGTGGCTGTGTGGGAGAGGACTTGACCTGCACGGCCTCATAGAACTCGCCGTCGCCGTGGCTCCGATAGCTCCCCTGGAGGCAGCTGAAGCCTCCCCAGTCCGAAGAAGTCTGTAGATTGGAATACAGGGGAGTATTGCTGGGGTTTTCCGTTTGGGATGATGCTGCGGCGGCGGACTTTCCACCACTCTGGTGGCACTTGAGATGGTCGTAGCCGTTGAGGAGTTCACTTTTGATGAACTTTTCGATGAACTGGCTTGGCGATTTGCCGCTCAGGTGCGAGAAGAACTTGCCCCCAGTGTCGCTGAGGCTGCTGGTGGATCTGCGATGCTGAGTGGCAGCTGCGGCCCCCTTCTTATGGGGCAGGCTGTTGCTCTTCGAGGGTTCTGCTGTCGCTTGATGATCTGCTGCGGCTGGTGCGGGCTGTAGTCCATAGATTTGGGAGCTGCTCAGCAAACCGAACATATTGATTGGGGCAAGGATCTGTGGGCTGTCGGGGTTCCTGCTGGTTCCTGCTGGTTCCTGCTACTGGGCGTGCGGCATTGACTGCTTCACGGCCATGTCTTTTTGTTGTTTTTAGAGAGCGCTGAAACGAGATATGAAATATTATTTGATATTCGGAGAAAGATGGAAATAATCATAAAACAAAATATTATGCAAATGGCTTGCAATTATTCCAACTCGTAATCCCAAGCAATTTCTTTTGTAGAAACTAGTTGCACATTCAATCTGTGAGATACACACGTAACCCGTCAGATACATTCATTCGTCTGCATATTCGTAATCATTTCAACAATTAAACCGCATCGTACGAGTATCATGTCTCGAATGATTAGACGATCAACGATTTTGCAATCCATTAAGTTGTCACAGACATTTTTCACTCATGTTTATTTCTCTTTATTTATTGCTTTTTTCTTTTGTAATTTTACTTGTGGCAATGTTTGATTATTTGGGATTTGATTATGATGGGAATTTCGACACTAAAAAGTGGATTAAATGGACTTCTAACAAGGGGAAAAGTGGAAATTACGATACATCTAAGTATATTAGAGGAAGAGAAAACAAGAATATTAAATAATCAATGGAGGACATGCATTTAAGCCGGAAATTGATTTATTTATAATATATTCAGGAGATAAATTCAGGATTAGGCTATTGGAACCCCAAAAGGTTCGTTCTGAGCTTAGTTTGACCTACAGAAAGGTCAGAAAGATAAAGTTAGGGGTCAACAAACCCCAGAAGGCACTTGTGCACCCACCTCACACCATTAAATATTCTGCGAGACTAAATAGAAGCACTTATCCCCTGCCCTGCCTTTTTAGATCCCCAAAAATATATAGAAAAATTCTATAATATCCACCAAAACATCATTCATTAACAAATTTGATATTTTATGGCTCCCCAATAAATTTCCCCACTCGAGTGTCGCCCCATTGCACGTCTTGTAACCTTCCATTTGGACATTAAACGATTATAAATACAAACAGAAACACAAACGAACATTTTCCGCTGACAGATTGAGCCATCAATATGACTTATGTGTTGCCATTGCTCTGACGTATGTTTCGGAGCTTGGGTTCCACACATCGTTGAATTTTTGATTTGCTTTTTTTATGGTCCCTAATTAAATTTACGAACCAGCCAGCCATCGATACGTCGATCGATTTTTAGGCTGCATTTTCGGTTTTTCTCTTATCTTCGGAGGGGGGGGAGTGGAGGGGGCATGGTGGTGTCCCCCTTTTGTTGTCGCCTTTTTTTCCACATTAATTTACGACAATAGCTCATTTATTTATTAATTTTCAAACAAGCTGAAAATTGGTGGCAGACCATGGGGCAAACGACCTTGAATGTGGGCGGAGTGGGGGTGTGTGGGGGTCTGGTCGAAGGTTCTTTCTTTCTTTACTGATGTATTTCATTCGTTGCATCAGACACTTCCGGAAGAGTTACATTTCGAAGGGATTATTTCACATATTATATGATTTCTCCTACAACTTGAGTAAGATGGGGCGGGGGTTCTCTTGGGGGCAGCGGAGCAGACCACTCTGTCGACCTCGTTACGCTACAGAAAAAACAGAAACTTTTTTGCTTGCTTTATGGGCTGTAAAGTGGTTTAAAATGCTTTAAAATGGCTAAAAAACATGGTTAAAAATGGCAATTAAAAAGGAAAACCAACGCAAACAGCAAAACAACGAAAAACAAAAATGAATGCAGCAACAAAATGAAGTCGAAGTCGAAGCTATTTAGCTTGAGCTTTTCCTACCATTTTCATTTGATTTTCTGCGCGTGCTTGAAACTAATTAAAGCAACAAAGAGCCTCCTCATTCACGGCTGATGATGATGATGATGCAGCAGCAGTGCAATCCGCATAAAGAAAATTTCAATTCAAACACAAACCAAAACACACAAGGCATTTCCAAATTAAGTTAAAAGTTAAAGCCATAATCATGCCACAAGTAGCAAAACCATAACAGCAGCAGCACTCTTTCCTTTTCTCTCTCTCCCTCACTCTCTCTCTCCCTCTGTTGTTGGGAAAGTTTGTTGGGAAATTCATGGGAGTGACTTTTGAATATCATCGCATTACACTCAATTAGGGATTGGATCTGATGTCTAGACAGAGTTTGTGGCCCTCCAAATATGTGTTCTTCTACTTAAATGATATAGGACTGTCCCCATAAGAAATTTGATATATTTTATTATAGGTAAATAATATAAGAGCCTTCTGCAGGTAATTTAAAGTTTATCTGATTCAAAAAACTATGTAGAACTCTTCTCCCAGTAATTGAGAGATTATTGGATAGACAAAACATAATAATATGCATATAAGGTGATTTGAAAAACTCTCTTCTCGATTTTATAATTTGAGACACTCCCTCCATTCGAGTATCTGATTTTGATAATAAAAAAATCTTCAAGAAATGTATTTTAAAAATGATATTTAGTAGGCGTCTCCTCTATGTAAATAGTTGTGTTTATGATAGCCTTACGATACTACAGAACTCTTATGCCTCTCTTGGAAATGACCAAGAACCTTTAATAAAAGTGTTTTGGAAATGAAATAGGATCGTTCCCTATTTATTCTATGAGATTTTATGATAAGCAGATGATAAAAGAGTTATTTAGAGTCTTGTAAAGGTCAAAACACACTAAAAACCACAAGAATCTGAATAAATTATTTAGTCAAAAAGAAATGTTATCCTTTGTTATGATGTACCCAAAATTTCGAAGTTTTTATAGTTCAACAAAGTTATAAAGACCCTTGTGAGCCTTTTACTTTTAGTGCTTAAATATAAAAACATAATTTTTGATAGTTTTAGTACTCTTCTTTCAACAACAACAAATTCTTTCAACATTTTATTCAACAAAAAAAAATTAAACCCTTAAAAACTGCCTTTTTAGCTGAACTTTTAATTAAAAACAATAGTTTTCCATCAAACGTATATAAAAACTTTGTTTTTCAATGGTTTTTGCACTCTTCTATTCAACATCCAGATTTGAATCCCACAAAACTCTATACTAAATCACAAATTGCCATCAAAGACATCGATTTTGTTCGTTCAGCCTATTCTAATTATCCATCAATTGATTGGCAAATCCATAAACCAATTATCTTAAACGAGAAATCAGAGCCAGAGACAGAGACGAGATCGGCGACTGCTTTTGTGTGGACATGTGTCCATTTGTTGGCCCCTTTTATGCTGTTTGTTGGCCATCTAATCATTTCTCTAACTAGATTTTACCATATTCGCTTTATAAATATTTCATATCGACTCGGTATCGATCGTTTCTCGTTCCTCTCCGTTCGAGATTTATTATAAATTCGAATCTCCCCAGTCCCGGGCAGCCAATGGAACCGAACGATCGCTGCCCCACTCCGATCTCTGGCTCCGATGACAGAGCTCTGGCTCTGAAACAGTCTAAGCCTCGGCCTAGAGACTAAACAAATTTGTCTTAATTGGCCAAGACGAATTGCTGTTGCTGCCTTTTTAGGCTCGAAACGGGGCTCGGACCAGGTCCGCCTTACCCGGCCAGTGGGCCCACCCCGAGCGTCGCCTCTGGCATTGGAAAATATTGGAAAAAATGCCTTTGCTTTGAAATATTAAAATCTCGTTAATGCCGCAGATCTCTTGGATTAACTAAAATAAATAGAGGGAAAGGTAGCGCCCACTAGGGAACGCCTCTCTGCCACCCATCCCATCCATAAGCCCAAACATTTGTCGCAGATTTAATTTCCGGAGAGGAATGGGCATACGAACAGGTACAGGTACAGGCCCTACCTTCCACCTTTTGTTCCCTTGATCCTCGACTGCCGCTGCTGCTGTCGTCTCCTGCTGTTTTTGCGGATAAAAAGTGTCTCTAAAGGTCTCTCGCCCGAGGCTAGGGATCCTTGGGAGAGTGAAATATGTGGCTAATCTATCAAATTGTTTGTGTTTTTAGTTGGTCAGGGTATTCCGGGAATGGTTTCTAAGGGGGAAAAACTAAAGAAGAATACTAAAGAAGATCTCAGATAAATAGGCATAGCTGTTACGGGTGTAGATCTTTCTTTTAAATCAAGTTCCTGCGATCTTAGATAAAGAAATCTTAAATGTTAAGTGGGAGAATGTTTCCTCGATCTGGAATGATTTCTTAATCCAAAGAGCTCTTCTGTGCAGATCAACGCGGATTCTTTAGAGACAGGCCAAGAAGTACAAATATAAGAATATTTCCCTGATCGTCAGTGATCTTTCAGCTAAATCAAGACCTTATACTCATCAGGAAATAAAAGCGAATTCTTAGGGAAAACTTTAAGAATGTTTCCCTAATTTAGAATTCAATTTCTGAAACCCTTTAGACCTCCTCTGATTCATCAATAAACATAAACTGAAACACTTAATGGATGGACCTGTACCTGGCCGCAATTCCAAATGCTAATCCCACATGGCCACCTACACGACCCGTAGAGTGCACCCGCATCCATCGATTGCCTCCAGCTGTGCATTGGATACAAAAAAAGAGGGAAAAAAGTGAAAGGAGAAGGCTAATCTGTGGAACAGGGTCTCGTCTCGTTTCGTCTCGACTCGCGTCTCTGGTGTGACACTTTGTCGCCCTTTAGGGACGTGCCATTGCCTCAACAGCTTGGACTTAAGACATGCCACACGGGGGGCAGAGGCAGGAGGCAGGAGGCAGAACCTGTGGAACTGTTACAATTTTCTAGCCAAAAATCGCTCGCCTTGGGTGGTGTCTGTCTCAGAATAGATATGGATGTGGATATGGATTCTTGACAGGTTCAAAGTGTGTGGAAATTAATCAAAAAGTAAAGAAAAGCCGAGAGAAAAGGAAAGCTGTGCGGAGGAGGGATCATAGAACAAAGGGACACCGCACCGAGCCGGGGCATTGCATAAATACGAGCATGCCTTGGGAAAAGGACATTCCACTGATAACAGTCGAAGGAAGGGAACCATCGCTACCTGTCTGAAGATGTGACCTTTGCGATCTACTGCTCTACAGAGTGGAACTGTAGGAAACCCTCTTTTAATGCAGTTCGTTTCTTGGGATCTACCTGTACAATTTCCGATAAAGAATCTCCGGTTTCCACTGTGGCATCTTCAAGGTTCCTCGGGACTGGTGTGTGCGTTGGACATTAATTAGTGGCCCATTGAGGTGGCATTTGACATATTCCCTCAATGAAATCCTAGTCCAAGAATGTAAACGACTTCTCAGATCAAACGATCAGCGAATGTAAACGATCTCAAACAACAATCTTAATGAGGCAACCAGAACTATCGTAGAGGAACCCTCCTCGAACAAAAGGGAACCAAACATCTATGCGGGAGTCGGAGGTGGTTCAAAAAGAGAAAGAACTGTCCATAGAAAATGATGCAATGAACCAACGGTAAATGTTATGGAAATGGGTCAAAACTCTGTAGATGGTCAATTAAATTGTCAGCTTTTCAAGAATTCCATCGATCTTTCTGGTGTGTGGAAGGGGGGCGTTGACAAATGATCTCCCCCAACATTTGACCTGATTTTTGTAGCAGAGCAGTACATAGACTGAGAGCGGTAGACCAGAGCATGAGAATGACTGTCCAGTGACAGGGCTCCCCCCAAAGGAAGCAAAACATTGGAAAGCCGAAGTGTAGATGCCCTGAATTTATAGAAAACATGAAATCTGTATTTTTCGTGGAAGAAACTACCTTTTTTAGTGATTGTTTTTGTATCTTATAAGACTTTAAGAGTGGTCTTTGAAAGATCCTTAATTTGGATATTACTTTGCATAGAACAGATCTAGAATTACAGTTTCGAAACTTTATGGAATCATAGATCCCTTATCCCATAATACCCTCTTTATCCAAGGGTATATGAAAAACAATGCAACACAAAAACACTTGGAAAATAAGTACTTATTTTTTTCTAGAGTCTTTCCACCTTCATTCCATCATCTTGCATAACGGTTTATGACGCTTGACCGCTGACTGATTTTTACCAGAAAATCAGTTGAAAGAAAGCAGAGCGTCATAAAACTCTGGAGTGGAGTGCAGTGTTGTGCCTCTAATAAAAGAAGGAAGTCGTGTTGCATGCAACTCAAGATATGAGATATGAAGTGCGTTCGTACGGATCGGTGACACGTGCAGAGGGCGCACACCTCAAGAGAGAGAGAGAGAGAGAGAGAAAGAGAGGTGGCAGGGGCATAAAACTATTGACAATACCTTTGGCAAAACCTCGGGTAAAGTGTGAATGTGATTGTTAAACTACCTGTCACTCTGCAGAGAGACTCCCTCCCAGGCAGTCGGCTCTTTCGGGTCGGGGGTCTCTCCCTCCAAACACCCAAACACTCGAACACCCAAACACTCGAACGCCATTCAAATTACTTTCATTCAATCTGTGAATGTTTTGCACTGGGTTTCCTCTTTCTTTTGGCTGTTCGCTGTTCGCTATCGTGATTGATTAGCGAAAGAGTCGTCACAGAGTCGCAGAGTTTCAGGTTTGACGCGTGTTTGTTTGACAAATGTCTTTGCTGGATAGTTTTCGAGGTATTGTATGGTGTGGCAGTGCTGTAAGCTCTCGTGTTACCTTGCTCACTTCCGCGTGTTTGGGGGGCTTCAACTTTGACTGCCACTGAAGCGGGGAATGGTTAGAAATAAATGGTATTGAATGGAGGTGGGTTCCCTTTAGTCATTGGCAAGGTTTCAGATCTCTATGAGTCCTTCTTTTGGGCGGGAAATCTTATATAATTTGTCATCTTTCGTAATGCCTGGCACCCCCTGGGGGTGTATGCTAAAAAGAGGATTTTTCATTGAATTTGATTAGGCTGGATTTTTAGCAGGGGTTCTACTAAAGAACGTTGAATAATTTAAAGCAGCGGTGGGTCATTCTCAATCATTCTCTTGTGCGACCGAGGCTGGCATCATTAGGGAGCAGTTGGGGGCAAGGAATGGCCACTGAAGGGTCCATTATAGAAGGAGTTCCATTCAAGAACCAAGAGTGATGGAAAGTAATGAAAACTGCCATGTTCTTTCTTTGAATTCATGCCACAACTGAAAACTATATGCCACTCGTATATCTTCCTTAATGTTCCAAAAACAATCTCTCTCTCTCCCTCTCATTTGTACTATATCTACCCGGAACTGTTGGGGCTCTCCGCTAAGTAGAGATTTTACTGCCGTTTCCGTTCGTTATGTAAACGTTATTTTACTGCAAAAAATCAGTTACCAAATCCCTGCCTCTTTGCCATTAAAGTGTGGTCTTTTTTTTAGGAGGTCAGCCAACTGTAAGTAAGCTTTGATTCTAGCCAGCACACATTCTACCTTCCACATTCCATATAACATATGTGTACTATACTGTACTGTATATAAATACAACATCATGGTGAATCGGTTTATGCCTTCTTTCCTTTGCTCTCTGCAAGAGCTCTCCTCTCTAATTGGATTAGAAGAAAGGGCGAACCGAACCGACAGAAACCCCCCAAAACAAAATGCGCGTAATGCCCGTTGCTCTGCTCTGCCTCTGTGGATCTCTTGCGTACCATTCCGCCATCCGCCATCCGCCATCGTTGCTGTTCTTTTGCTTTAATTTAATTAAAAGGTCAACAAACCCTTGAACGAAACCCTTTTTTTGGTTGATGAAGAGCTTCGCTCTCAAGCGCTGAATGGATTTTTTGTTAATCATTTTACAATTAGTTGGGGGATTGAAAGGCAGAATGTTGTAGATCAAGTTTTTCGCATACTGCTGAGAGGCAGTATACCATCCCCCCCAATCATGTGGATATTTTTTGATTATAGACGCCTTTCGAGAGGGCTATACTCTTTTGAAAGGGTGCTAGAACTTTGGGAAGAACATTACTTGGTATAGATGTTCCTTTCTCTTTTAATTAAGGTATTTTCTCCGTATTTCTTAGTATTTTAAATCAGTCTGCAACTAAAATATAATGGTTTTCTATTAATCACTAAGATTAATATTTCAATGCAAGTATTTTCTTCATTTTTCTGGTATTTCAAATGTATTTCTAAATGGAAGATCTAATGGAGTCCTTCTTATTAAACAATCCACTAAGTTTTCTCATTCAATTAACGATATTTCATGGAATTTTTACTATTTTAAAACAATCTATATTAAAATATCCACAAAGATAACAGGAGTTTTTTAGGTACCATTTCTTACAGAAACATTATTTGGTTATCCCGAACAGATATTTTGCCGTATTTAAAAGATACATATTTAAAGCAGAATTTGCTATGATCTTGGAACTATTTGGTAAAACGTCTTAAAGAGAAATGTGGAACCATAATCCAAGTCTTTCAAAAGAATAATTTCCTACAGCAAGGCTTTTTGAAACTATGGAAATTATAACGTCACTCAATACGAATTTTCTGTATAATTTTATTAGAGACTTTTATTTGGCATCTTTTCTTTTAAACAACCTTTTCCCCTATCCAAAAAAGTGTATCAAAATCTTCGTTCTCTACGCTTTCAGTCTCTTCAGCGGTCTCTTGATTCTATTTTTTGTTTCTCTAAATTTAATTTGCATGTTTAAAAATCATTAATTTGCTTGCTATTAAAAACAATTTGGTAGCTGGCGAAATTTTTGTGTTACGCCGCTGCCGCCGTGTGCCGCCTGCGTGGAACGTTGTTTATTTCGGTTTTGGGGTTTTGGGTTTTCTGTTTGGTGTTTTAGCAACAAATTAGCCAAAAAAAAACGTAGCTGAAACTTGGCTAAAACTTGGTTCGAAGTTATTTGCATTTTTGTCTGCTGTTTTCTTCTTTCCATTGGTTAGTTTTTGTTGTTTTGGTTGGCTTTTAATGCAACTAACGGTACGTAAAATTGGTGAAATCTTTCTCCGAGCCGAGTTTTATTTTTATTTTTTTATTTTAGTTTTACTTCGATGCACATTTTACTTTCGTTTTTGTTGCTGTACATTTTCTAGCGGGTTGTCAAAGTAAATTAAAGATTTCTCTGTCTCTCTCTCTCCCTCTCTATCTCTCTCTCTCTTTTGGGCTTTTAGAAACTTCCTCTTGACGGGAGGTTAACTGACAGTTGGCCAGTTACAGCCACAATTACAAAACGTTTAAGGTTTATTGAACTTTCGATCGCCATTCAAAAAGCCAAAACAAAAACGTGATAAGACCCTTACGTCAGAAGTTAGTAGAAAGATTTGGCTTTAGTCAGAACGATTAGCAAACCGGTTGAACTACCATCTAACTGGATTGGTGCGGAGGGAGGGAGGTCGTACGAAATGTATCTCGTGAATTGTATCTCATGCTGGCTATTTACATGGCACAAGCCACTGTTTGCACTTTTTCCAAGAGGCCTGAAAAGTAATACCCTCAAAGGTATTGGATTTATTTGATTTTATTTAAAACTGAATGAAAATTGATCTTCCCGATTATCTTTCTTTCGAAAGAGTACTGTATAATCATAAAGAAATCTATTGTTTATGGGATTATCAAAGGCCTTTGGAAATCGACTGTTTTTGGGTCTAATAGAGGCCTTTCCAAAATTCTCAAGCCATAACATAATTTTTAATGTTCTAAAACCTACAAGGAACTCAAGATTGAAACTTAGTTTCCAAAATCACTTTAATTTAAGAAAACTTCTAATTTCACCACCTAAAACACATAAATGAATGGACACACCAATAATCTTAAAGAACTGACATCTTTTTGTATTAAAAGAGTGGAACTCTTATATTTCCAGATTCTAGGCCTTCCATACGATTGAAATTTCTTGTGAAATGAATTGTCTGCTGTCTTTTCTCGTACTTTAAAACGCCTCTGTCGGCGCTTAGTCACGACGATGACCATTTTTCAGTATTTAGTGAATGGTGTCATATACGCCATTAGGGGTTTTTTTTTTCTGTCTGGCATTTCTGCGGCTTCTCGCTTTGTGCATATTTTGTGGTGAAATATGGAAAGTATATTTGGCATTACAATTGCACAAAAGACGACTGCTTGGAACGGAGGAAACGTATTACCAATCACAGCTCCTGTTCCTGGCCTAATCCCACTCTTTGCCCACGACTTACCTTCAAAACACGAGCTTCTTTGCAGCGTTCGTTCTTTCACAAATTGCCGTCACTGAGATCTGTAATTAAAAATGAAATATCGTGGACATTAGTCGGGCTGTAGATCTGATAGATACAGGAGGGGGTAAATCTTAAAGATACCAGAGAGTGAGATAGAGGAAGCAATGCCTGGCATCCTTTGATGTGTGTGAAGAGTGTGCGGATCTCTGCGCTGTGGAGCCGTAGCTGTGGGCCGTAACCAGTCTTCTAACTGAACCAATTTTAACTGTAAATGCAGTTAATTACACTCGCTTTAAAGCCGTGCAATAAATAAATATGTACTCGTACGAGTATGTGGACTCAAAAAAAACTTGTCTGTTAATTAGCATCTGCCTCTCGGTAGCACTCGGATGCGCTTACAGGTATCTCGCCAGTCCAAAGCCCCTTCTCAGGGAATCGGAGAAGTGCGGGGAGGGAGTTTGCGTGAAACCTTATGTGGAAGAAAGTGCAACCTGCAACCTGCCACCAGCCTGGCAACCAAAGGGGGGCGGAAGCCGCGGCAACTGAGACTTGGACCCCCAGAGAGGCACCCAGAGGCATTACAACTGTCGACTCGACCCTAATTTCCTCTTTAAACATGGTCCCCGGCCAAAAGCAAACGAGGCAAAAGAACCCACAAGGAATGGTTAGGGCTCGGGTAACCCAATGCCACTTTTTCAAGCCATTTCATTCGCAGAGGAAAACGGAACGGGGTTCCAGAAAATGTTCTGGCGCACTGGCATGCGTATGCGAAGTATTTGAGCAAATAGAACCTCGTACTCTTATGAAAATCAGCTACACTTAAGGGCTTCTCAGGGTGGGAAAGTAGTTTTTGAAGCTTGGACTTAAGTGTAGTCTTGGGAAAACAAGAATACGTCTAGAAAAGATTCCACTTACAAGAACTGCTTAAGACTTATAAGAATGAGTTTCCAGATTATAATTTTTATGAAAGAATATTGTAGAACCATCATATAATTTTATTATTAAAAGGCATTCAATTCAGCACCGAAACCATTGAACCATTGTCCCCCTATCAAAGCCCTAGATCCAAAGAATTCAATGAGAGAATAACACCATTTCTTTCGTGGAATTTTATTAGCTACAATATCAATACTCATCGAAATTTGTTCAATTTCTACCGCCCCAACAGATCCCAAAAAAAAACTTTGACATTGAACTATTAAAAAGAATTCAATGAAAATCGCTGGAAATTACACAACTTCTGGAATGTCTGTCGAATGTTATTGGAGTTTGCTGACAAACAAAGAAACGGCAGAAATGCTGTGCCCAGCAATAAAATAAATTCATCGGGTAAATACAAAACAAATAAAAATAAATTAAAAAATCATATAAATTAAGACACGGGGAAAAGGCAGGGAAAAGAGCTTCAAAAAAAGGCGTTTAACATGTTTCTTGGATGGAAATGTATGTAAATGAATGCCAAAAGTATTTCTCCCTTTCCCCTCTACATATAACTCTTTTATTTATTTATATTTTTATATACAAAATATGCAAAAAAAATAAAGAAAATAAATGAATTTAAATCGACAACTGCACCCACCGCAAAATTGATGATAAACAAGTTTCGTATAAGTTTTAAATTAAAATAAACACACGAAAAAACATCTGTGCACATGTGGAGCGGAGTGGAACAACAATAATGCTGTTAATAACAATAACAATAAGAAAAAACTACAACAAAAATTAAACGAAAGTTCAGGGCCTGCCATTGTCGCTTCAACCAAAAGAAATTTCATTGAAAATGTTAAACATTCCCCCGCCTCTGGGAGAGGGTCTAAAAATACTCAAGTTCTGGCCCATTGGTGGTCGCCTTTTGTTGGGTTCTACTCCGTGGACTCATAACTGGGTTATGGAGACAAAAGGAGGTTCCGAACATTGACAAATGTGATCATCTGCATAGTTTCGACTTACAATAGAGCGCCAAAGAGAGGTAGATGGTCCGAAAGAATGATCTTATGGGTCTTATGAGGGAAAAATTTAATCACAAGATCTGCTTAGGTCTTCATAAAGTAGGAATAGGGGAACTGGTAACCTAGTAAGACAAATGAGACATTCCTATGATTATGATATGATATCATGATAATTTTCAGGTTTTTTTTGGTCTATAGGAAATGTCTTGCGAGGGTTTATTCTTGTAAAAGTGTTTGTAGCTCAATTTTAAATATTATTTTAATAAAAAAGGGCTTAAAATAGCTTTAGGGAATACTTAAGTCATACTTGGTAGGAAAAATCATCGCAATCCGATCATTATAGGAGAAACATGTATGGTTTTCTAAGACAAACCAAAGATACCTGCCTTTCAAACTTTTTCTCCACCCAAATACCCTTTAGATCTTCTACTTCTCGCACCCAAGAACCCATCCGAATGCCACGTAACCTTTGCGCCAGCTTCTATCATTCTTTTGTGCCAAGTATTTCCATCGAGCTCCAGCTCTGGCTACCTTCGTTCCACCGTTGAAGGTGAACACCTTGCGGGCACCCGCATTTCATTTACGAGCAGTACTATTTCCGCAAAACAAAACACCAGCCAATCGACAACGCCATCGCCATTGTACTCGATGACGACCATGTTAATGTGGCTTTTATCTAAAGTATTTGGCATGCATGTTACTCGTACTGTTACCCACGGTTTGCGATATCAAATACAGCCACTGCCCCTGACAGTGCCGCCTGGGACCCTTTTCCCGTGTGCCACAAAAACGAAGCGAAAATTAAAAATGTTATCTATGCAGCGCGTAAAAAACCAACACATTTCAAATACGTAGAGTTTTAATTGAAAATGAAGAGAAAAATACCAAAACAAAACAAAGCAAAACTAAGATAAATGAGTATCAGAGGGGGTTATACGTAAAAGCTATACCCCCCCCATTGGGGAGAGAGCCTCCTTATGCAATCAGCTGTTGAATGAGAGATGCTTCTGGTCTCTTCGACTCTCCACAAAAAGACGCTCCATTCGACTCGACTCATAACTGATTAATAGCCAAAATGTTTAAACGAAATGAAAGCGAAAATAACTTTTAAATCATCGCATTAAAAAAGCAGACCTCAAAAAATACCCGAAGCACACACCTACAACACCTTTACAAAAAGATCGACGTGTTATGGCGGCGAAAAGCCCTCAAAAACCAACCTCAAGACCACGTCTCGTGCTCTGATAATTCTTTATTTTCTTGATAGCTGGGGATACGATGGACGATGTTCGCTCTGCCGCTCGATGATGTAAACGGGAATTCAAATTTATGGTAATAAAAGAAATAACAGTCAGATTTAAAGTCGTGTGGAACTTAAATTCCGACTCTAAACATAAAGGTCTGCCCGTGTCTGTGCTGTGTGTGTACGAAAAATGAGTATCAAAAAAAAAAGTGAAAGTTTTCACTTTTGTTTCAATTTCCATTTACCCATAGTTTTTTGTGTGTATTTGGGCTCCATTTAAGGTAATTTTTCACTGGGTTTCATTGAGTTTAGGGCAGCTATAGGCAATAGATTAAATACTGCAGGGGCATTCGGGGGCTTTTTAGGAAAAGAGAGCAAAGCAAATTAATGCTAAAGGTAACCCAGAATTGAAAATTGAATGAATATTCATAGACGTAATGTTTGAGGCGATGTTTGGGTTGAAATTAAGATTCATTTTGTTTAAATTGTCGACAAGAAATGCATTTTAAAGGTAATTTAGATGAATATATACATTACCATATGCATTTTTTGTTTAAATTAAAGAAAAAATATCAAAGAGAATTGTTGGTGAAGATATATTAGATCCAAAAATTCTACAGAAAAGAATTAACGTATGGAATATATTGGAAATATTTTGTTTTAAGTATATTTTCAGTGCAGAAAAATATTAATAGTATGTAAAATATTTTTGAGTACGTTTTCTGAATTTCCCACATGAAAATGATCGAAAAAACCTTCATTAAAAATAAATTCTCATTACATCAGATACAATTTTCCGCATAGATTCTATAAAATGTTGCACACAAATTTTGTACAAAAATTTCCCAAAGATGTAACCAGATTTGCATCACATATTCCAACTAATTTTCCACACAAAGTGCAATAAATTTAGGCTATTTTGGAGCATTCATATTTCAGATTCCATCAAATTTAAAACACAATTTCCAACAAATTTGGACATAAACTTGATTACAAATTCCCAACAGATTCCATCAAATTAGAGATATTTCATCAATTTTTCCCGACACTTCATCAGCTTTTTCCGACATCTTTCCGCCGGTTTTACCATTGACATTTCTATTGTCATTAGGGAAAAAGTTGACTTGGAAAGTTTTTGTAGATAAAATGCACATGCAGCCCAAGAGGAGTGCACTTGGCACACACCACAATTCTGTTTTGTGTCTCTTCTCTAATTAAAATCAACACAAAAACCAAAGAATTTTGTCATTGTGCAAGCATGAGGCATGAGGCATGGGGCATGAGGCATTGAGGCACAGACCAAATGGTAAACAAATACGGCTGAGTGGAACCCCTGGAAAAGTGGAGGGGGTCTGCGATCCTATCAAATATCAGTCGCCGCATTTTCGAAGACTTAGAACTATGCCGGCATCGGCACTCGATTTGAAGACAAAGAAAGAGACATATAGACATCCGACAATGCAAAGGCAAGACCTCAAAAAGACTCCAAAATTTACATATTTTACCAAAAAGAAAAAAAAGCAAAAAAAGAAAAACCAAAAGTCTGTTATGTAATCGTGGGGACAGTCGCCCAAAAAATAACTAAAGCCAGAGATCGGTGGGGCCAGCAGTCTCTGTCTCTGCGTCTCCGTGACTCATTCCGCCTTGTGACATTTTTCCTTTCGGTTGAGCATAAAAAGTTTTGACATTTGCATAGCTGACGCCAAAAAAACAACCGAAGAAAAACGAAGAAAATAAAGCCTGACAATGAAAATTAATGAACTGCAAAAGTCCAGGGGACTCTGGGGGCGGCAGGGAGCCTCCTAACGTGGGCCCAGCTCCGCCGATATGGCCGTAGAGGGAGAGACACGTGTGTGCCTGTTGATCG